ATGTAATGTCGTATATTTCTCATAATTATAATTTTTTTATTATGTTTTTTTTTTCATATTTTGAAAATATCTAAAAACCTGCAATTATTTAGGTCAAAGACATCAAAAAAAAAAAAATCCTCATAGTATGTTGGTAGAAGAAAAATACTGAAGTAAATATTCATTCCCGATTTTCTTTTTCTATTTAACATTTAGATTTTCGTAATTTAACATTTAGATGTTCGTAATTTATTAAAAAAAACGAAATAATTTCTTAAAATGATTAATTATAATTTTTTTTTATAATTATTTTTTTGAATGTTTTTAATACATTTTTGTTAAATTGAATAATTTTATTTTTTCAATAAAGTTATTAATAGTTATCATAACATCATATTTTGTGATTATTATTATATATTATTGTACAATATATTTTTTCTTCAATTTATTTTTTAATTATAAATATGACAATTTTATAATCATTAATATTATATTTTAAATTATTTTTTTTATCAGTTTATTTATTGTGAATAACTCGCAAAAATTTTATTCAATAATGATATATAGTTATGTAGTAATAAACAAAATAATAAATTTTATTAGAAAAACATGAAGTTTCAAATGATGTTGAAACATCGATTTACGATTATATAGTTTTGACTTTAACATCACATATACATATATATATATATATATATATATATACATGTATTTTATTAACTTGCTAACTTCAGTTGATATTTATGAAAATTGAGTAAAGTAAAAAATAAATAATGGAAAAAGAAAGAAGAAAGATAGAAATTAATAAATGATAAAAAAATTATTATTTCAACAATTAATATTTCCAATTATATATTATATTTATTTTGCTTAAAATTTTAAAATTATGTGAGGTATATAAAAGTTTTTTTATATTATCGATATATCGATTATGTTTATGATTCTCGCAATTTTATCATTATTTTTAAATATTTTCGCGATGACATCCGAAACTGAATGAAGTTCGAATATATACATGTGAATTCTCTTCCATGTGAATTAAATTGCGAAGTATTAGAAGTTTTTGATTAATGAAGACTTATATATAATTTATATTCATTTGTTTTTAAATAAAAAAAATCACAATATTAAGTAAATATAATATTATTATATTTAGTATTTTATTATGTACACATATACTTATTGCAGAAAATTGCATAAAATTTTTGTAAAAAAATAATACATTGTAATAATATTTTTACTTTTTAATATTTTTTTTTGTATTGTATATTAAATATTATTTATTTCAATATAAGCACGAAAGATTAAATAAAAATGAATATTTTTTGAAATAGAAATGAATCGTTTAAAGAAAAAAAAAATCTAAACAATGTTGTAACAAATTTGATATCGAAATTAATAAAAATATTTCAAATAAATTTAAAAACGTTTTAGGTTCAAATAATTATTGTTTTAATAAATTATTTAATGCAAAAAGATATATTAAATAATATATCATTGATGCATAATATTCCATTGCAATATAAAATTAGAAATAATATATTAACCATTGATAATATGAACAATTATTTACATATATTTTCTCTAAATAAATCAAATAATGATTCTAAAAGAAATTAATCAACTAAATTATCGAAAACTAAGATTAAAATAATAAAAAATCATATAAAAAAGATTAAAATAATGAAAAATCATATAAAAAAATTAAATAAAAATCTAAAGATATTTGATTGCAATGTAAAAGAAGTTAAAAATAATGATATTTTCAAAAAAGAAAATTCATAATATTTTCCGTAGTATTAAAATACCTGTGTGATAGATACAAAATTAGGAAATAACAAAAATATTCCAAATCCTTTAGAAGAGAAATTCAAATTTCTAGGAATATTAATAAACAAGATTGTGATTCTCTGCAGAATTATGTGAACCGACAGTATCAAAAGTAAATAAATTGTGTATAAAAAATCAATCTTTTCTTTTAAATGAAGAAAATAATAAAAAAGAAATAAGTAATGAAATGGAAGACTGTATATCTTTATTTAAAGATATTAAAACTATATATTAAAGTTGCTGAATGTTGGAATTCACTGAAAACTTTATTACTTACTATAGAAAATGTGGAACTGAATCTCATCTTTCAAAAGTTTGATGAAACAAAAAAGAGATCAGAAAAAAATATATAATTAAAATATGATGCAGGCATTAATTCAGCAAAATTTTCTACAATTGAATCAGAGATTACATCAGATACATCAGATATAGATGAATATTCAAAAATAGTTAATACAAAAAATAGGACTTCGAAAACAAATAAACAAAATACTATTAATGATGTAAAAAATGAAAATTATTTTACATTATATTCAATAGGTAAATAAAATAACTTTTTTTTGATATATATTTTTTTATATTTTTATATATTAATTATTGTATATTATAGATGAGTTATCAAAACCATACTCTGCATATGAAAGAACAAGATTTTGGAAATATTATATCAATAGCCTTCGAAAAAGACTTAAACATAATGATTATAAATATGTTATGAATATTCTCAATTCAGTAAAAAAAGATCAACAATCATACATGTTATCAAATATTATGCAATGAAATAAAATATTCCTCTTATCGTTTGAATGAACTCATTGAATATCATATGCAAGTAATAAATAATTTAATAAAATATCATAATTGCTAAAATTATGTTTTTTTATGTAGATAATTGATATATTTATGATAATTGACATACATACTTTTAATTTTAAGTGAATTTTCAAAACTAAAGTAGATAACATACTAAAGTAGATAACATTTTCTGAAGAATTTAATCAGAATAATTAATTTATTTAAATATTTAGACTATATATTTTTAAATTATAATAATAAGATTATAATAATAAGATTTCATGTAAAAAAAAATATAAACATAATATTTTATTTTAAGCTCTGAATGTTAAATTTCTATAAATTTAATTTCAATGACATAATTTGTTATATATATTTTTTCAAGTTCCAATATAAAATAACTTTTGTATTGAAATAAATTAAAGAAAAATATTGCATTAAAATATATTAAAATATTTATTTTAAAATATTCCTGATTTCATTTAATATTTTTTTGCAGTTCAACTTGGGACAAGTGCTATATCATACCAAATATTATATGATGTTGCTAAACATATTTTGATTCGTTTAGCTGAGAAAAATTTATGGACGTTAGCTTATATTAAAAATGCTTAAAAATATTAATTTTATAATTCAAGCAAAAATTCATTTGCATAAAATTGATGCTGCAACTATTCTGCTTTTTGCTGAGATATATTTAGCAAATCAATGAATTATAAAAGCTTTTACCTTACTTAAAGCTATTTTCTTATTATAATATTTAAAATGAAAACTAATAATTAATTGCAGTTATTTTTATGAAACATTCTTTCCAAAAACTAATCTCATATGTACTAATTCAAGTAAATGGAAAATATATTGTACTGTAAAAGATAATCCTATTAGAGTACAAATAATAATCATTTTATTAAATGCATTTTATGAAAGATTTCCAGATTATGCAAGAAATTTTATCCAAGAAATTTTTCTTTTTCATTTTTTAATTATAGATCAATTTAGCAATTTTTATCCAATAGGTAAAAAAAAATAATTTTATATGATTAAATGATATTATTTATTAATAAATTTAATATCAATTATATAAATACATTCAGAATATATATTTTTAAATATACATTACATTTTTAGAACTTACAAATATTGCAAATAAAATAGTATCAATGCTTTTATTACGAAACAATCATGATTTAATTGCAAACATTGCAAAATTAATTATTGAATATAATTTTATATTAAATATTATTCCATTTCGTGCATTAATTGCCAAATTGGTTCATATTAATGTGACATTAGCTAAACGCTTACATCAAATAGCAATTAATTTAGGAATATATTCTAAATTATAAGTAAGTATTCATGCATTTTTATATTAAAAAAAAAATTATAATTGTCGTTAATAAAAAATATTCATATCAATATACATATTATGCTCATCATTTTTTGAGATTAGTTTTATCCAACAACACATCTTATTATAAATTCTGATTGGACAAAAGAAGAAATGTATCTTACAGTATTGGATTTAATAGAACAATTTTTATCAAAAATTGGATTGGATCTGAAATCAATCATCTAAAAAAATATTCTGTATATTTTATCTTTAAGGCAAGTTATACCTATAATTACTTATATTTTTAATTAGAACTTATTAATTAATCTTAATCTTTTACAGAATTTGAATAAGAAACTTATTTGTAATAAAAAAATAAATCAACAATATTATAAACAAATGGAACAGAGCAAAATTTTAATGCAAACTATATTACAAAAAGAATTCAATCCACCTATTTTAATAACAAGAAACCTAAAGATAAAATATGTAAGTTAAGTAATATAAGTATTTTAAGATATTTAAGAAAAAAAATTAATAATAAACAATAAATTCGATTTTAATTATACATATATTTAATTAAAAGCAATGGAAATAAGATTATATTTTTGAACATATTGTTTCTTTAAAATTTTATGTAAAAATTTCAATTTTAATTTTTTAACTTCTAAACTAATTTACTTATACTTATTTAATTATGATTGTAATGATATAACATAATGATATGATTGTTAATTATGATGTTTATGATATAACAAATATTATTTAATTTTTATTTTTAAATTAACAATATTTCGTTTATAATTGTCTTATACACAATATATTACAAATTTTAAAATATATTTTTAAGTTGATTATGTCTTGATAGATTAAAATATATTGTATGAAATTATACACATTATAAATATTATATAATTATACAATAATAGATTATATATAATATATATATAAAATTGTATTTTTTTTTGAAAGCATATGATAATTATATTAAAATAGTACATATATAGTTATAATACAATAAAATAAATTTTTGATATTAATAAATTGTGTATTCTTTACATTTAAATCTAATAAAATGAACATTTAAATAAAATATTAATGTATAAAATTAATTTAAATAAAAATTGCTATGTCTATTATAAGTAACTCTTGATATTTATATGTATAATTCAATAAAAACATATTTATAGTTTAAAAACAAAATAAATTAAACATTTAAGATATTAATTATTTAAAATCTTCATAATTACTTCTTCAAATACATTCGATTAATCAAATTCTGGTATGTCATCAAATGAATAACCTGGTACTTTTTGATAAGCTAAAATAGCTACCCTCATATGATAAGCACCTGGTATAAACATTAGAATCCCTAAAATAATAAGTGGCCACATACGATCTGAATACTGCAAAAAATAAAATAATTATTAAATATATATATATAAAATTGTTTATTATTATTATTAAACTATTATTATTACAATTATATTTATTTTTTATTAAATTGGTATAACTAATATAATATATACAAAATAAATATGTATATAAAATAAAACATACATATATTTTGAAATAATGAGAAAAAGTATTTTTTTTAAATTATAATGAAATGGAATAATTTGAAAAATATAAAATATAAAAATATTATTAAGATATTTTACCTTTGAATCAATATGTCCACTTACAATTAAACTGCCCATAATAAGCATTATAGTACCTCCAACAAAAAGAAGAGCAGCTAATGTAATGGCTTTCCATGGTATTTTTACTGATGGATTCACAAACTGTTGAAAAAATATTTAATCAATCATATTTACTTTGCAAAATTTTTCACATATTTTAGTTACATAATATCTTGATTGATTTTAATAAATATATTTATAATATTATGAAATAGAAAAATATTTAAAATATATTTAATAAATAATATTTAACCTGGGAATCAACAAAACCATTATCAGTTTCTGTAAGCTGTGTATAATCCACGTTGTTAAATTGTTTATCACCAAGTTTTCTTCTAGACATACTCACTTTGTGAATATAATCTATAAAAATAAATTTAATTCCAAGTTTTTATAATATCAAAATTTTCATTGTTTCTCTAAATTAAATTAAATTAAATTAGTTTTAATTATTAATATCATTATTTTATATTATATTTAAAATAAATTTTATCTTATATAGATTTTTCAATTATTTTTAATAATGTATTTTATATTTCATAACATCTTATTTATTATATAATAAATCTTTTACGAAAATACTCTATGAAATTTGTAATTAATCGAATTAATCTATCAAAAATATGTAAATATCTTGTAAACTGAATACTTCATTCTTTCAAAAATATGAAATAAATTTATTAATATTGATTGAATTATGAGTATATATACATTGTTTGTAAATATTTCAAATATTAAATTATGTATAAATTAATATTACATATTAAATTATGTATAAATTACAATTACAAATTATTATAGCGTAATTGTAAATATATAGATTGAAAATGTCAAACAAAACAATTTTTTCTATCAATAAATTGTTGTACTTAACGTTTTAGCAGATATCATTCATAATAACTTAAAAAAAAAATTAAATTTTGCAATTTATTATTTTTATTAAAAAAAATGAACAAAAAACACTTATAGGTTATTATCTGTAGTATTTGATAACGTGTTTTAAATTCAGAACGCATGCGCGTATGTTAAAAGTAGGGATAGATTCCGAGGGAACATTTAAATATTTAATTTATTTAACATCATATAGCAACAAATAGAGATAAATAAATTTGATTTGAGAAAAATATAATGAAAGTATATATTAAGAATTTAAAAACAAATATTATTATTATTATAAATTAAATACTACCTGTGCTACACCAACTCGTCCACATATCAATCAACAATTGAACACTTAAAGTCGTATAGATAAAATCATCAAATTATTTTTATTGGACTTTGCTATCGATGAAAAAAATGTTGTACAATTTTAAAAAAAAAAAAGACAGGTTTCAAATTCATTTTGACAAATCTTTTTGATGCCATTTTTTTCCTAAATAAAATGAATCAATTTCTCAAAAGTTCGTTAATATTTTAAAAATCCAGATTTTTATCCTTTCATGAAAATGTCTAAATTAATTAAAATCACTATTTAAATAAATGAATAACAATATATGCAAACATTCAGTTCACATAACTAATAGCCAAATACTAATTATAATTATTTCTACATGAATTTTCATCAAACAAAAATATTGTTGACTTATAATCGAGAAAGCAGTTGATTAAAAATTAGATACACGAAGTTTATAAATTAATATTACTATTTTTCTAGTATATTTAACGCGCACTATTAGCATAGACAACTTTAACTTCGAGATTTTCAATTACACTTCTTGTCAGTTGGTCGGATCGATCTGCGAAAATGAAGAGGCGGTGGAAGCTGTGCTTTCCTGCGCCGTGACGTTGAACGCAGTACCGTACTATCATAAGGGTTTCATAGAATTTCAATATTATGACATTTTCAAAACGAATATTTTCTTATAGTAATTTTATATTACTTATATGAAAACAATACATAAAAGTTGTGGAATTAAAAATAAAATTTTGGATTTCAAAAATACATATAAAAATATAGTAAGATTGTATATTTTTGTTATAAAAAATATAATTGTAAAGAAAAAAATGTGAAATAAAAATAAATGTGAATATTTATCTTATTTATATGTTTTTTCACAAAAGTTTGATTCATTAAGTCATATAATTACAGAATTTGAAATGTCTAAGAAGCATCATTTTTTGAGCGCATTAATAACTTCGAGTAAAACACGATGCTAAAGGTCAATGTATAGGGAAGATGAAAAATCGAAGAAATGAAAGAAAGAATCGATATATTTCTTTAAAATATATTATACGTATGAGGAAAAAGAGTTTAATGGACTTAATCATAATTCAATAATATCTTTTTAAAAATATTGATTTATATAAAACATAATTTTTACTACGATTATATAATAAATATATATTTATATATATTAATATAATTATTCCATTAAATAAATTAATATTAATCATTATAATTTTTAACTAAAGTTAGAATAATTGAAATATTTGTAATCAACAAAGAAAAATTTTGAATTATTTATTCTTAATTATCCTATTTTCATGAGATTTTTCTTTTAAATATTAAACATGCTGATTGGAAAGAAGTTTTTTTTAAATAAATTTGATTAACAATTCTGCAATTAGATGAACGCAAAATTCTGCAGTGCTGGGTACTGGAAGTTAATGATACGATATTGAAGAAAAAAGGCGCCTGCGCTGGGACTAGTACAGTGGTGTTAGGTGCAAGGAGGGTAATGGTGACCTAGGGGCGGCAGTGCGGGTTCAGGGGGCGGCGAGGGCGGGTGCCTCCGTTGGAACTACCTCTTGATAACAGCCCGCAACTATTCTCACCTCCGGCCGATTTCACGCCGCGTAATTCTCATTTCTTTCGACAATCGAATATCCGTCGATTACAGTGATTATTATTTACGACTTGCTGGAATAACAATCACGCGATTAATCCATTAAGGTAAATCGAAGAAGCATAATTATAATATGCCGATTAAGAATGGATGCGATAAATCATTAGTCATTGGTGCGCCAACAATAAAATGTTTAAAATCTTTTGCCAGTGATATTTCCATTAAGAAGTTATGCGATTTGGATCATAGTGCTTTCTGTTGTGATGTTATCGTGATACTGGCGTGATTATCTGCAGCAATCGCTGCATGTAGGTAGTAGTTGGTTACTTGTCGATAAATGAAGATCCTTCATAGCTTAGGATGCTGTGAAATGTGCCACGTACATTAATTCACATCATATTTTCATTTACGTTTATTAATGTTACCTATGTCGGTTCATTAATTAAATTGAGAACACGTTTAATTTTATCATAAAAATAATAGACTAGAGTCATACGTGGACATACGACGCGGGACAAGTTACGGTAATAAATTGACGACGATAAATCTACTGAAATATTCAGGGAAAAATATGCTTCGCTTTAAAGGCGGGAAAAAATAAAGTAAGAGATTTCAAAAGAATTATTCTTTCTACTGTTCAGATTTTACGAGTCGTAAGGGATAATCTTATTACTTTTCGCTGAATTTTCTTTTATCTATATGTGATTTTTTTTAATAAGATAATCTTCTTTTCTCGTTTCATTGTCGTCCTTCTAGAATTATTTCATTCTAAAATAAATATTCTTTTATTATTAAAAATATCATTGACATAATATTGCGAAACTAATATTCGTAATAATCATGATAGTTTCGTCTTTATGTAATATAGAAATTTTTTCGCTTTACATTTTATTCAATTAACATGATTACTTGGTATCAAATAAAATGAATTTTACACGAAGAACAATTTATTTGTACAAATGAAATTCAATAAAAAATTCATATGTAAAGTATTCAATATTTTCGTTCAATGTTTAATTATTTATTTAATAATTTTAGTACATACAACTAATCGATATTAATTTTTTGTATTTGTATTGATTTGTATTCTCGATTCATTGATTATATCAACTAATCTCGTATGAAAAGATAATATAATATTATATAATTATAGATATCTTATTTTTAATTAATTTTTTGGACTTTGATATTTCACGTAAAATATCTTCATGGTGCAATTGCTTTATCAATAAATTAAATAAAAATAAATTAAAATATTAAATGTTTAGTCAGTAATACCAGATTTAATGACATTTTTCATAAAATAAATCGCTTGCAAGTAAATTAAAGAGAGAGATAAGTTATCTTAATTACAATCAATGTCATTTTTCTTTCTCACATTATTTATCACAATAATACGTAACTAAATATTGTTTTAAAATATGGAAGATTACTATTATCGATCAATAAAAAAAAATATGGAGATTATACTGACATCGATGACACTGTTAACTGATGTAGGCATAACAAAGCGCATTATAGACATAGATAACTGTCGCCACTTGAAAAATAATATGCTTTAGTCTTATCCAATCATTATAGATACAAAAAAAAAGATCATATAATTTTATGTTATTATCTCTAACTCCTAAACCTTTGAAATTTCACAACATTAAATATTTGAACACATCGAAAATTTTAAATCTCAATTTTTAGTTCTGATGTCATTAAATTTTAAGTTATTAAATTTTTTAAAATTTTCAAGTTCTAAGATTTTCTAAGAGAACTTAAATGACTTTTTCCAAGTTATTCCAAATAAAAAAGTCTTTAGTTTTCAATTTTAAATAAATCCTCTACTGTTACAACTTTTAGAATGAATATATAATTTATTCATATTCTCGTTTTTCTTTTGATTTCTTAAGAATATTAGAATTGATTCAATTATCATTCTAACGACTACTTTCATCTTTCCATGTTAATGATTTTGAAAATTGAATAATTATGAATACGAGTCTGAACATGCATGGATATATTCAATTTGTTGTAATAAAAAAATTAGACCTTGGAATTTTCTCATGAACTTTTGGTAAAAATGGTTAGAATGATGTTTTTTAAAGTTCAAAAGTATATTTGTAATTATATAATCATTGCATAGAAAGATCTTTATCGATACGTATTTATAAACGAACATGAACATGAAACGAGAACATAATGGCATTATAGTTCACTAGATATGTAGTCACCGACCAATTTGCTTCGCTTTACATTTCGACGCGATCAAATCGATTTTTCTTTCTCATAAGTTTCTATTTGATCGATTCGTTGAAAACTATGACGTTCAATCAACTCTAGGAAATTATTATTGTGAATGATTCATGGAGAAAATCTTTAAATCAATAATGAAGTCATTTGAAAGTTATTAAAGATTAAACAAAAGGTACATTAAAGATCATATTGTTTTAGAAGTTATTACAATTAATATTTAAATATAATATTTATTGACTATTGATTTTTACCATAATGATTTCAGTTTCAGCAAATTTTCGAATATTGAACAATTTTATTGAAAATGTTATGGATCTCATGTGTTTTATGACGAAGACCGACTTAGATAGTTCAAAAATTTTCCATTTATACAATGATCTCTTGGTAATTAGTTTCAGTATGGAGTGTCCTGAAGCAATGGAACGAGGCAGAAACTTTCGTTTGCTTGCCAAGGAAGAATTACCTAAACTCTTGGATTTCCTTGATGGCTATTTGCCCGAATCCTTAAAGGTGCGTTCAATCTCCTTTTAAACTTGTTCAATTTATATAAAAAATCCTAAAAAATTTTCTTAGAATTTAGTTTTTCTTAAATTTTTAAAATAATAATTAAAAATTAGAAAAAAATTCTGATTTCATTAAAAATCATTGAAATAAAAAAAAAAATTTTGATTTGATTATGAAAATTCAGAAAAAACATGACAGTTTACAGTTTTTGAATTAATAATTGAATTAATAATTGGTTAATTAATTCATAATTAATAGCATTCTATTTATGTAAAATTCAATTTATGAATGATGTCATATTTCAATTACATTATTTATGAATGATGTCATATTTCATAGAAAAACCTAATTTATCTTGTTATGTAAACGAATTAATTTTGCTTAGTTTGCAAATATTTTCTCTGTTATTATATTTTAGGCTAATATTTTCTTTTTGTTATTGTATTTTAAGTTAATAATAATTCCAATGATTAATAACGAATCATTTTTATAATTATCATGTAATTCTCTACAAATTATTACATTTTTTTGTATTTTTAATACTAACATGAAAAACATAATTGATTTAAAGTTCTTGAAACCATCTCTATAAAGCAAAATTTAATTGAAAATTCCGATGTCTTCTCTGTTAAAGCAATTTTAAATTACTCTTCCAACAAGATTTTGAATTTCATGAAACATCAATGAAACATAGATCTACAATATTTAAAGGATTAATATATATCATGATAATATTGAATTCATGGAATAAAATATCTCAAAAGGAATTTAGTCCGAAGATCAATACCTGTTGTGTTTGCCATCTTTAAATTACTTTTCTGAAGTCTTTGAATGATATCATAAATTATATGTTAAGTTTCCAATCTAAAATTGAAAATAATAATTTTAATAAATTTAAAATAATAGTATCAAAGATGACATTGAAATTAGATTTAAAATAAATCTAATGAAGAAAGAAAGTACAAGACAAAAACAAGTTGAAGTAAACAGGAGAAAGAAGAATAGAAATAAAAGTTGTCACATGGTTGATAGAAATTGGATGAACCGTAAAGGGGAACTATGGCTATAGAATATCGTAGGATTCCCGAGGGAAGAGGCGACGAGATTCGATAGGATAAGATTACCGGTGCAAAGGAAGAGATTCCTGCGTAGTATTTCCTCCGTAACCCGGTCTAAATGGTGGGCCGTTGTGCTAGGTTAGTGTCAAGGTCGCGGCTGGTACAGATCGTTTTGCGCAGCGGCGATATTCTTGGTGTGATATTTGCATGCGGCGTCGTAAAGTAGTACGGACAATGCGACATGATTTCTTTTATTTTTTAAATTGTATAATATCAATCTCTTTTTCGATGGTACAAATATATGTGTATTGATTATGAAATTTAAAATCTCGTTTTCTATTATAACTGATATTTTTTAACTGCTTTCATCTTTGTCATGCTACATAGACCAGTAAGATTTATTTTAACTTTGTTTCGTGAAGTTTCTTGTATGTAATAGTATTTTCTATACTGGTCGATATTTAGCAGCCTAATTAAATTATTACAAGGTATTAAGATGATATAGTGTCACTAAATATTAGTGATTTTTATTAATTAATATCAAATATTAGTAAGATCTATTTATAAAGGATTTTTAAAATTTACTACTAGTTTGTAGTATATTTTGCTTTTTGATTTGTTCAATTTGGATTTTTTTTCTATAAAATATATTAAAATAACATAAATAATGATTGTAATAATAAATTAAATTTAAAAAATTTTATAATAATATTAATAATAATATTTTATTACCATTATTGATTATTTATAAGAAATTATCATCAAATTATATTATCTCGATATATTATTTCTTAATTACAGATCTGGATAAATCTGTATATAATGTTTTATCTATTTTTACGATAGTTTTGTTGAGGTTAAATGAAGTTTTAATATTTCCATTTAATCGAAAATGTGCCAATTTTTACATATTGTAGCAAACACCTGTTAATATAAATGCAGCGGAATGTGATAATCGGTCAATGAGCACATATTACAGAATCAAATTATTAAATCTAGCTTACCTTTCTATCTTGATTTATTCATTGCTAATAATAATAATAAGACATTTATTTCGACATACTTTTCAATTAAGACTGTCTTGTAACTCTCAACAAATAATGAAAAATTTTTCTACCTGTATAAGACTTCTTAATCTTCTTTCTTCTTTTTTTTTTTTTGCAAAGTGAGATTTCCAGCATGAGCATATTTATTAGAAATTAGAAATTATTATATTATTAGAAATTAATATATAGAAATAAGAAATTTCTATGTATAATTTTAAACGATCTCTTAAAAGATATATAACCAAGATGTATTATTGAAATTTCATACATCAAACAATATTGTTGCGTAATAGATTGTGATTGACATCTAAATTATTATGATTTCGATATTGCTTTATGTTAATTCCATAATTTATATTCAATACCTTCGAGAATCTGTTGCAAAAATAAACAACGAACGTTAGATTGATGAGTATAGTGTGGGAATGAATTTGCAATTAAATTATTAGTCACCAGAGGTCTCTTTTTAAAAAGTTACTAGAAAAACATGATACATAACATGATACATAAAAAAAAAAAAAAGCAAACAAATAGAGAGAAATCAATTAGAAAGATGGCATCGACCCATCTTTTTCTCTTTTACCTTTCATTCTTGAGCTAGTGAGTTATCGATCTAAAAAGAACTTTGTTTGTTACTCGTCGACGGGTAGCGGAGTGGCGGGACTATCGGTGTTACGACTGCTGGCCACGCCACCTCGATTCCACTACCGATGTGCAAGGTGTAGCGGAGTCAAGGCCAAGGTTGCGTTTCCATGATCAACGCGCGGTATCGATCTCGTAATCTTTTCGCGATATCAAGATATTCGTTTTTGCGACATTCTGTTAAAATATAATATTATAAGTGTAATTAACATTATCAAGAAAATAATCGATTGCTTATCTGAAATCATAAACTCTCCCGTTTGACATAGTATTCATGAGTTTATATGAATTCAACAACTATATTACGATGTCGAGAGTATATACACACAATACATAATTATGCAGAGAATATTTCGTGATAGCTCATTTGACGCTTAATGTAGCAAGATGGAATCACTTAAGGATCCTAATGTGACTCTACATCTATAAGATTAATATGTGCTAAATGTATATTTATATTACATTTGATTTCTGAATAGTTGAACGCTGATTATATATTTTAAAGGAAAAATTATAAATTTCTCAGAATATAAAATTGATTTGATTTCTATATGGCATATTTATAATAAATATAATAAAATAATTCTGAATAATATTATTATGAGATTATTATTATGATAAACATAATACAAATTTATAGAAATAAAAAATATGCTTTAATAAAAGATATTCCAAGGTTGGTATATTAAAGATTAATATAAGTACATTCCTTCAGTTTTACATCCATTAGTTTTTCTTAGAGTTCCCATAAGATTTTTAAATTCCAATCATTCAGGTCATACAAAATAACCTCTTAATTTACAGGATTTTCTTCCGTTCTTGTTCCTGCTATCCAGTTTGCGCGATTCGGTAGAGTTAACATGCTCATTGGTACTCATATTACGCGTTATAATGTTTGGCCAGCATAAAACGATGCCGCATACCGTCATTTATCTTCGAATAAAGTTGTGCCAACCAACGAAAAGGCAAGGTCAAGGTCATGTCCGGACATGCACACGCGATGCCATATGGCTTTTTCGAATCCGCATTCGAATCGATTCTTCTTGCATGCTTACCAAGTCACGATGATCCTTACCAAGTGACGTCAAGCTGGCTCGAAGATGATCGATAATGAATAATTTTGACAAAGCTCTCAATTGCATCTTTTTTAACCTTTTTTCTTTTGTTTTCGTGATAAGCCTAATGTTTAACTACATTTCTTTTTTCTCTTTTTAAGTTCTTCAAATTGAAATTGTTGTTAACAAATGACGATGTGAGTAATAATGTTCCTTTTTTTTCAAATAAATAAAAATTTTGCTTTTTAATAAAACGTGAAATATGAATATACTGATCAATCATGAGTTAATTGAGATAAAATGTTTTTATATATTAAAAATAATAAAGATATCATAAAATCTGGTTTATCTAGCATTTACATTCTATTCTATTATTAACCTCAAATAGATTAGATTGTAAGTGTCTTTTAAATCGCAACCAATTCGTGTCAAGATTGTTCTATTAATAATATTTATATATATAATATTCTATTAAGTTGAATTTTTAAAAATGATTCTTTATATTGTTTCTGCTGAATTAAACAAAGATTTTTCGTTTTATTTTTATCATACTAAAATAATATTAAAGAACAAAAAGAGAAGAAAAATAGTCACGAAAGACAAAACTTAATTATAATTAAAATCAATCTCACATTTGACTGGTATACAAAATCGCATAAATTAAACGTTTTTATAGTTTATTTGATTATCGCAATTTAACTTTCCTTTTAAAATTAATTTTATGATCATACAGAGTGACATGTTTACCGGCAAAGGATTTTCTGCGTGTACTGTTTCCACTTAAAAGACACCAAACGAATCGAGACAGTTTCTACAACTTTCTCATTTGCATCATCGTTTCTGCCACTTTTCGAGATCGAGCCAGTGATATGTAAATTTACACCGGTTATACTTCACGTGCTGCATGTGAAACATTTTATTATACGACATGTATGCTCGCCAAAGTATTTCGAGAATAAGTGAGCCCGATTACATTCCCTTTCCACAAAAGAAGATGCGGGGAACTTGTTCGCTCACGATAGAAAGGGAAGGGACGTTAAAATTCCATTCGTACATGTGAATTCGTTTGAATTCTGGCGAACGTTCGAAAAAGTAAAATTCGATAGAACGGATATTGGCAATGACGGATAAAACGTGCGTAACAAATAAAAACATATGCGGCTACGTGCCATTCCTGACTTGTTTGTATTGAAATTTCAAATCGAATCGACGTATAAAATTGCTAGGACGTTTGTCGAGTATGATATCTCGTCCATTCTGGTGCAACCAGATTATATGTATAAAATCTAGGACAGGCTACGAGGTTCCGCAATAGATTCTATTGCCGATTATTTACTTACTTTCAACTGATCGAAGCCGAGCTACTAAATACATAGTTAATTCACTATAAATTATTTTCGGTATGTTTATTTTATAATTGATAAATACATTTTCTTTCAGAATTTCTATTGATGCTTTATTGATTTTATTAGATATCTTGGTCTTGATTTTGTGATTTCAATGTTTTCAAGTGCAGAAATCATATCGATGGACATGATGATGGATAAAGGAATGAAGATCATCCAATTTTCTGGAAAATAAAAATTATTATTTAGAAGAGAGATGCTAAAGTGTCAGAGATAGCACATAATAACCTACTTCATCATTAAGTATCGATTGATAAAGTTTTCTTAATTTTATAAATTTTAATTTTAATATATTATATATTATATATTATAATTTTAATATATTTCTGATTTCGATTTTTCTATTGATGATAATAAAAGTAGACAAACGGATGGAATCCATCTCACTTACTCATTGCAAAATGAAGATCATTGTAATATTTGAGTAAGAAAAGGAAAGCTTTAAACACGAAAGTATTAGATATAGCACATGGTAGTTTATTTTAAGAAGCGACGTCTGGAGCATCGCCCTTGGCTAGATTCTCCTTTATCCTGCAGCTTCCTCGTAAATATCCACCTTTTCATCTGACAAGATGTTGCCTTTAGTGAATGCGCACTGCGAAAAAAAAAGCTTCCCTTTAACTACCCCAAGAGTTTGTACTCTTCTAATTCTTTCGTGAGATGAAGAAGATTTCCAACTGTTTCTTCGCGGTTCCATAGCTTTGTAAACATACGGTGGGAAAGGATTACTTGTTATTTTGTTTCTTTACTTGCCACAACGTTATTCAGTTGGGAAATGTACCTTGAATAAACTCTCGACAATTGTTTACACCTTTTAACGTAACATTGTTATCTTTCTCTTTCACAGTTCCATCAAACTTTGTTGACCTATATGAATGACAGAGTATGGGATTTTAATTTCTATGTGGCTAATGACTGGCCGGATGATGAGATCTGTTTACATTTTCCAGGCATGACGTTATCTGTAAGTATGAAATGCCCATTTGTTTTAGATTACACTTAAGAGCAATTGATAAGATCGTGTAGCTTACACACACTATATAGCAAATATAATTTCATTTCTATCGAATAGGTACATCAGAGGAGAATGTAAATATCAAACATCGCCAAAATGCAATTTGTTTTCATTGAAGATGGATATTATTACATTTTTTTCCTGCTTGATATAATCATTTGCAAATTATCTGAACGAAATATAACAAAATTGATGGTCTCTTTTCTGATGAATGAATATAAATTTGAAAATCAAAAGGAAAACTCGCGTGCCTTCGATAAATTCATCTTGTTTCTGAACGTATCGCACAGAGGTGCAGAAAATTTGGCCCAAATCCTAGCTTGGCTTTCATCCAACCTTTTGTTTCACAGCCTTGCCAGTTCATTTCCTGACCTTCCCCTGTAACTTCTCTAATCTACCACCCTATCTTATTCGATGCTCTTTACTTAATTAACGTGTCCGCAATTTTGTCCATTTGATAACTTGTTACCATTAAATTCTCGTGTCTTTTCCCAGATTCGCCAATTCATAAATCAAAAATTAATATCTTGATATCTCTCATCGTGTTAATTATTTGTTCGACCGCGTTCAAATCGTGTTATTTAATTTCTACTAACAATAAGATTAAATTTAAAATAGAATTTCGAATCTTCAAATGTCGAATCAGTTAAATCTGAAGCGACGAAATCTCTGAACAAATAATTCATGTATCAAATTATTTTACAATTTCTCTTTAGTTTTAATCTAACGCAATCGCTCGATCGATTTTCAGCCTCATGGTTTACTGTTCGAAAGTGTAGGCGTCTTCTGTCCCAACGATCGACTGGATCTGCTTAAATTATTAAGGGAGGAGGATATTTTGATCGACTGGACGAAGCCTCTTTACATCAATTTCGTTCATTACGATATCGCCGAGGAGTTGATACACCTTTACGAGGGCACAGGGACGATCGAGAGGGTGATAGGGGATGTTTTTATGTGCAAGGATCTTCAAAACATAGATAACGTCGAGGAACCGGATGAAGAAGCCCATCCCGACATTCAAGTTCAACCCTTGAAAGCGGAACACGCTGAGAGTATTTACGAATTGTATCCAGCGAACGATATGGAGTGTCACGAGGTTTTCCTCCGATTGATCAGGACGCTTCCCGCTGCTGGAGTGTTTGCTAAGGGTAGTTTGGCAGCTTGGATGGTTCAGTCTTATTACGGGGCCATGTTTTCCATGCAAACCAAGCCTGAATATCGAAGGAAGGGTTACGGGACGAAATTAGCAAGGTAGACAAATTTTTCTTTTTTTTTATTGAAAGTTAATCTAATTGCTTGGTTATTGCTTGATACGGTAGAGTTTAGATGGATTTTGAAATAAAGTCTTTGATCAAGTATACTTCTCCATTCATAATAGCAAAACCGTAGGTACCTGACGAAGCAGGTCGCTGACAGAGGTTATCAGCCTTTCGTGGTCATACGTCCAGAAAACGAAGCCAGCCAAAGTCTGTACAAGAAACTAAGCTTTAGGAAAATCTATCAAACTGTTCGAATGACGTTCATGCCTTTCACGTGGCAAGATGAGGAGAATAAAACGACTCGCATTTTGAGGGAAAATTTGGAGAACGCTGTCAGACAGCTCACTATCGAGCAACAAGTAGTGGATGCTTTCAGAAACGATGAAATTGAAGAGAATGAAGCAGGGAATTCGGAATTTGTGGTAGAGGAATCTGAGGAAAGAGATGAGAATCCTCCAGAGGGGGGAAGTATCGAAGCGACGGAAGTATCGACCGAAGAAAACGTGAAAAATACGATCAATGATACTGAAAATGTCGAGGATAATGAGGGAACTGATGATAACGCTGAAGAAGCGGTAAATGATGGTGATAATCAAGACGATGGGGGAACAGACGGTGGGGACGCGGAATAATTAAGTACACGTTCGATTATTCGATAAAAGGTCCATGATTTACGTCGTGTTGCTCGCTCGAGGGTATACTCTCCTCTTTCCAAGGCTGATGGAAGAAAGAAATCGATCAACTATTAGAAAATTCACCATACATGTTATGATTTTAAATGCATTTTTAAATGAACTACAACTCTCGTTTTAAAACAATTTCTTAAAGTCTTTGTAAACAATTTTGAAATGAAATCTGTAACAATTGAAAGTATTAGATGTGATAGGCATGATTATAAAATCGACCGATTACATGCATCGATGTACCTTGGCTACATTGGCTACCTTGGCTAAAATGGCTACCTTTCGTTGGAAAGAACTCTCGAGCAGCATGAATGATACAAGAAAATAAAAGAAAAATTATTTTAAGAATCTTAATAACTTTACAGCACCCGCGTTCGTGCGAGGCTTCAATTCGCGTACGAAGAAATATGTATCTACGTACGGATTCCTCATATCAGACTGCTCGAAGTATGTCATGAAGGTCTCAGGAAACAGGTAGACGTATCCTTTGAATTGTCAAGGTTAGATTATTTCAAAGTCTATCTATACCGCGTCAAATATCTTTTTATTGTAATTAGTGGATTTGTTATTTCAAATGTTTAATATTAAATTTATAATAATTGTACATCTACGTGAAGTATATTTGAAAGTTAATTTCAAATTAATTTCTCATTTGGTCGTACTTTCGGACTAATCATTGTAATAATATTTGTATCTTTGATAAAATGATATATATGTATTCTTATTAAGTAGTAAGTATTTGATTGTTATTTATTGAAAAAAATTAACAAGAATATGAATATAAAATTCAATGTATTCAGTTTTTTCTAGAAAAAAGAAAACTGAAAGTGATCAATGAAATTTGTTAATCTATTAGCGATTAAATTATGATAGACTTTGAATTACGATTTCTCCATATTTAAAATAATTAATTCTATTTTAAAAAAGGAACAATCAGCGTGAATGAGTCGTCGTGAAACGTACGACAGTTGAGAAATTTACGCGCTGAATCAATCTGTGATTATAATTTCCCTATATAAAGTAGCATTTCGAATAAAAATTCAGAAGCCTCGTGCGACCTCGACACGCTTTCCTTAATACAAGTAGAAGCCAATTACTGTGCCGGTGCGCTCAACCATAGTAAATTTCAGACACATTGAATTATGGGATAACAACTTTAACTCGACAAGATTGGAATAGGGTATTGAATGAAATTTTATTCTAAAATTTACCTACAATTTTAACAAATTATACGTGCGATTGTGATCCCATTTCAGAGAAATATTTAATTAAAATCTTACCTATCTAGCTTAAGCCATTTTCAAGAAATTACTTCATTATTTTTTTATTGAAAAAGAAATAGTTTTTATTAATATAAAAAAGTTTTTGAAGAATGTAGTGCACAGACACAATAATCGGTCTAGCGTGCGAGCCAACGATAATAACAATAAATAATATTAATAATAATAGCGATCATACAATTAATATTACTATTAGTTACAGAATATACATGTATAATATGAATATACGCGCAAAGGGAAGCCCGATCAGCCCGGTTCGGTTATTGAGAAATTCTTTTTAAAATATAGTTGATAGTTACTATTTGTATCATTTTTTCTATATTTCACAGATGATGCATTTTCAATGATATTCTACACGACAAACGTGTGAAAGAACAGATTTAAAAAGTCGTAGCTGGGACGACCGGGCAGTTCCTCGAAGGCCCTCAATGTCCCTCCTTTATTTTGGATTTTCGACGTTGCTGGGGGCCAGCTGTGATATTTTCCCCACTTACGCTCTGGTCATAGTACCAATATTTAGATTTAGACGAAACTTGATTGTTGTTAATGGGACATGCTATAGCTCAATTCTATTAATATTTTGTCATGGATGTGCTTAAAATAGCGAATAAATTTGTTATTTCGCATTGTTTCAGTTATTGACTCTTGGAGGACCAACAAAACTAGCATTGACAGGAATGGAGTAAAATATAAAATTTGAAATTATAATAATGTTAAATTCGGTAATGTTAAAAACATTACTATAACATATAAGTTATATAGCATCAGTCCTCTAAGTGTAAAATGTTATACAATAAAATGTCACGTACGTTATTGTAAAATGATACAATAAAATTTAATGTATAATTTATATTCTAATATTCCAGTTTAAATAATTACAATAAAAAAACTTGATAAAGAATTTAGAAATAATTCAAACGTACGTGACTATATATATGTTCAATGTCTAAAAACAAATCTACATACTTCCCTGCATTGCTTGTATGGTAAGCTTGTCAAGTTTTGTTTTGTCAGTTTGAATTATAACAATAATTATAACCTAAACCACAATCAATTTCGTACACTTCTTATACTGTGCACAAGCTCGAATGGAATTTGCAATTATTATTAAATACAGTACGGTTATTACAAAAAATATATAAATTTTCGAATCGAATAAATGAAAAGGGCACTGAATTTCAAGTTCGAAAACTGTGATTTTATGCACAAGAAAAATTCATCGTAGTTCCTAAAATTAGAACTAGATAGCGGAGGTGGTTAGTGGCGCTGTTGTCAGGACAGTTTCCCTCCATTTTTAAGTTATGCAGTGCAATTTTCGATTCGATTCGTTTATCGTGCTATGTCAATTATAATTCGCAGTATAATTACTTTTTGTGTCATATATCGTCACTAACTAGTGCTTGAACATCAACAAGATTTTATTCTCGTTTAATATTATATATTTTTGAATAAATTCAATAATATATAACGTATAAATACAGAATAAATGTGTGATTATAAAGTAATTAAAAGTTATATAGACAAAGGAAACATGGCAGTTCAAAATTTAATTAACGAATATATTACTGAATTTATTTTTAAATTTCGACATTATATACCCTTTATCCAGCTACTAATTAAGGTAAAAATTAATTTTATAGTTATATAGTATTGTTTTATTGGATATTTTTTTAATTTCGACTAAAAAATTTTCGATAGTTAGTGACGCATATAATTTGCACAAAATGATTTCTTGTAATGGCCGTACGATATATAATTCCGTTACGTATGTTTGAACAAATTGACTTCAAATTATATAAATCTGTTTCTTTATTCATTTTCAAATATATATCAAATCGATAATAAAAAAAATGATTTTAAAAATTAATTTTTTAAATAATAAAAAATGCGTTTAAAATTTTTTTAAATTTTATATCTTATTTTTTATTGATTCAGAAAATTAATTTTTTTAACTTGACGTATTAATTGATGTAGTAATTATTAGTATTTTTGTAGTTTCAAATATATAGTTAGACGTTTAATTTATCAATCATAATTTTTTGTTTTAAATTAAGAAAGTAATATTAGTATTATTTAAAATTCTGTTTTTATATTATATCTTATTTTATATACATAATTGTAATGAAAAAATATGAAAAATATTTAAATGAAAAAATGAAAAAGAAAAAAATAACAACGAAATAATTAATACAATTAAATCTATATGAGCCTGCATCTATAGTTTGTTAATTAACATCATGCAGATCAATGTCTCGCGAAATAGGCCTAAAATCCGTCTATTAACATCTAAATACGTTTCTTCTATATTTATTGTAAATATATATATATAGGAATATCCATATATGATACATATATGCATATATTCCTACTTCCTCGTGCACATTGCTTTCCGCTGTAACAAAATCTTTATCTAGAGCAACTCTTAAATTTCTGTCATATAACATATGAAAGTTACACATATGAAACTGTTGAATAAATAAAAAAAGAATATCGCGAAATAATCAGAAGTTTATTCACTATAGAGGACGAGAAAATAAAGTTAACCTATAAAGTGTAATGTCTCGAAAATGTAATTTGTCTACCGTGTGTAGATATCGATTTATGTAATTTGTGTGTTCGATAAAAGCAAATAGTTTTAGCGTGAAAAACGCTAGTTTTATGCAAATTAGACATCAGAAAAGAGCTTTGGATAATGAATGGAACAAATAAATATGATTTTTCAACAATGGTGTAATTTATTATGCACTTTTATCGACACACTTTTCTGTATTTATATCGATAATATTTATTAAATTCAAAATTAATAATTATTTTTATACAGATTTAAAACCATAAATTGTCATATTTATTTATTTTTAAATATAGAATCAAATGTTCAATTCTTTTTTTAAAAGATTTATCATCTGTTCATATTAATTTATAGTAGGAATTCAAATTTTTTTTAAAAAGAAATTTAATTTCTTTAATTTCTTAATTTTTATAATTTTGTTTTAATTTTCAGTTTGTTTCTCACAATTTAAATTTAATATTAACATCAAAAATACAAATATTTCAATTATTACAGTAACAAACAAATAAATATAATTTCACTTACATCAAACATAATGATTAAAAAAATTTACAAAACACAATTGTTATTGCTATTTTATCAATTTATAATTGAGTTTTATAAACACATTTTAATAATAATTAAATAACTATTCAAAATTCATTTTTTCATAAACGACACTCGCACTATCTGCTCAAACGATTAAAACTCACAACAAAAGTCCATAAATATGCATTGTAAATTAAACGTCGAACATGTAATATTCATAATAAAAATCCTATAAATCACAATATATTAACATTCAACATAAACACACATTCTTGAATTTCATAGTTTTAGGATGAATGTATCACTAGTAGCACAGATTCATATGCCAAATTAAGGTTAGAACACAAAAATCGCTCTGTAGGTGTAGTTGCACATTGTTTATGATTATCTATTAGAAACTGAAGATATTCTAATGGGTAGAACGAAATCGTAATTATAGAAAAGTATGTAACTACAAATACTAGAGTTCGGTGAGAAAGAATCACACAGTGTAGATTATTGCAAACGTTTCACGATGTACTGCACTCAGTGCTCTACAAGAAGGAGAAGAGACGACAGGTGACTGGTGCCTGCGCCATGCGCATTGCTCGCTCGACCTCGGCAACACTCGAGCACGCTCGTCATTGCTCGGGCGCCTCCGGCGGCGAATGGTGGGGCAAGCAGTGTATCCGTGACGTCACATAATTAGAGTAAATACAAAGTAGTCTTGATGGGACAGCGGCGTGCGCCGCACCGTGAGTCGCTGGTCCGCGCGCGTCAAACCTATATCGTTTCGATACACGCACACCGCGTTTGTGTAGCTCGTGATATATTGCGCTATGTGCCGTCAGTGTGTGTGTACCAAAGGATCCTAGATGACTGTGGGAATAGTAAGTGACACTCGTGCAGCAAAGAAATGGAAAAGATAGAGGTGAGTAATAATAATTTGAAATTATAATTAAAAATTATCTACATTAGTTAATACGAATTTACGCGCCTGCGATCTTTTTTTTCTCCCGTTGTCGAATTTATTTGATGTGTTCTCTTGCTCGTCCGTAATGCAGAAGTGACAGCGTGGTGATGAGTGGGGGAAGGGGTAGTCAATGGAGGGGAGACAATCGTGTACTTAGACATCTGGCAACAAATGCAATTGTGTATATCTTCAATGTGCCACACTATTAGAAGGACTGATTAACTCTCCCTTCTCCATCGTTATCAACCTTTCGTCTTTCTCTGTTTCATTTTCATTTCTCTATGTCAACTTTGTGATTCTGCTTTTATCTCTCTTGCACGTTTCTTAGCCTCCCTCCTCCCTCTTTCTATCCCTCCTCCATCCCTTATTCCATCCCCACCCTTCTCATTCTTTCTCTTACTTACTCGTATGCTTGCTTACTATTTCTCTCTGTTTCTCTCCATTTACATATCTCACTCGCTCCCTCTTTCTCTCTCTTTATCTCTTGTATTCTTTCTTTCTCTCTTTCTCACACTTCTACCAGTACACTTTATACTTCTTTCTCTCTCTCTCTTCTTCTCATGTTTTCTCACTCGCAGTTAGTGAGGTATTTATAGATGTGCCTTAACCCGATTTAACACAGCCACCTCGACTCGCATTGTCCTAACAACGATTTAATGAGAAATTACATTTTTCCCCGAATTGTTTAGTTCTTAGCTTTTTTATGATACTTTCTCTTTTTTAAAAATATTTTGAATTAGATAGATAAAATTATTGTATAAAAGAAACGTTGTAGAGAAAATACAACAATATTATTTGTGCACAAGAGTCGAATCGATAAATACGTCTGTTATTATTAGGATGAAATATTATGGTACAAGCGGTAGATAAATAGAGCGTCGTCTGTTTAAAGAAAATTTTAAGAGCGTATGTTTGTGGCTGTCGTGAGAAAAATATATTTAGGAGTGTTCGTAGAAAGGATGTACAGTCGAATAAGAAGTTTACAATTTTTATTATCAACAGTTTTTTTCTTTTCCTTTTTTTAGTTAATTTTTTATTTATAATACGAAAACAATTGAATTAATATTATTTATCTCTTAAAACCAATTATTCAATAAATTAATTATTGAATCATAATTATAGATTTCTATTGATAATATTTTTTTATTATTTTTATTATAGCTTAAATTTATTTTTTCATTTTTTTTTTGTCATCTTTTTATTTTTATTCTCAAATCTCTTTTTCCCTCTCACACGCTGTCTGAGTTTTTCATACAGCGATTCGTGAATTGCAATTCATATGATGAATACTCATGGAAGCATTCAGAAAACGATTTTTGTGAGATTCAGAATAGCGATTTCGATTCCGTGTATGGGTCGATTTGTTGTCGGCGACATTTTTCGAATCGAGACGGTTGACGAAACATAGAAACAAATGATAGTATTCACATAGCAGCTACAAAATCGTTCATTCGCAATATTAGTTGAACAAGGACAGTGCTACGAAATTAGATATTGCATCGAATGAATATCTTATGGTCGGACGCATATATTACACATGAATCGCGATTCACAAATCGTTATGTGTAAAAGAATAGTCCAATGCATATCGCGTATAAAAGAGATCTAATTCACACATTGTTTCTGTCTTTATCGTTAATGGATGAATTAAAAATATATATTTGAAAATTTAATCGATAATGGAGAATCGTGAAATAATTATTATATCAGGATTTAAGTATGTGAGCGTTATTTTTGTTATCGTAACTCGACTGAATACGTAATACATGTAAAGTGGTCTCTATTGTCTTTTTCTCGCAATAAAGAGACAACAAACTTCTGCAATTTTTCGTCGCCTTTGTTCACCGTATAACAACTTAAAATATTCTCTCTGACTTTTTGAATAAAGTTTATTTTTCTGGTGAGCTATTTATCCATAGAAATTTATTTCATTTTCTTTTTTATGTTGTTGCTAAAATGGAAAATATAAATTATAAAAAATGGTACTGATAAATAGAATAATAATAGGTGCTCTAACGAAAATTCCCTATGACCTATACTTGAGCGTCTATGACGTAATAAAATTATATATTTATACGACGCGAAGCTGTTTGGAGTATGATAAGTGAGGCACGGTGAAATGATGTTATTATGCAACAATGAATACTTATCTTATAAAATAAGTAATATTTTGCGATAATATTAATGATTATGGCATCATGAAGTTTATTTAAATAAATGAATATATTAATATACAAATATTAATAATAAATTTTTTAATTTTAATCGGATATATTCGTTGCGTATAAATTATATTTAAATTATTTATAGATAATTAAACATTTAAATTTTATAATTAAATTTAAATAAATAATTGATGGAAAACAATGTAATAATTTCATTAAATTTAGTATAAAATGTATTTCGAATTGAATTTAATAACAGTAACCGGTAAAAGCAAATTTTATTTTAAACAATGTATTATTAATTTTATTTATTAATTTCGTGCGTCGGTTAAATAATACGTGAATCACGATTAAAATAATGCTTTGTCCTTGTGGTAAACAAACACATACATATTCGTACTTTTTCTGTGCGCGATTCAAGAATCGCAAAAAATAACAAAACATTTATTTTAGCTTCGCTGTGTGTAATTTCTACGAGATATGTTTTATATTGAACAATGTTTTCGTGCATCAAATATAGACGAATTGTTTTCTACAATTTTTCGCTTGAAAGTACAAATGCGTATTTACAAGTTATATTAAAATTATTTCAATCGAAAGGTTTATTTTTGCATCGTGAAAATTACGTAATACGATTTGACGACTCATTATTTACGTTTAAGAATTTCAATATTACACAAACATATGACATTTTTTAAAAAGATTAAATTTAGAATTTAGTGCGCGTGGCATAATTTACGTCTTTGCAGACTTTGTACAGGCCCCTATAACAAAAACGTTTCTCACGGTAATCATTTTCTCTCGGGATTTATGTAATATAATATTTGCTTCTCGTTACTCTTGATTCTCAATTCGCGAACGTGTTACCGCAAATATAGCTCTGATAAAATACTAGTCGTGCTCGAAAGATAATTATCCCATGATTCACCGACTGTTGCTTTTTTCTCGTTACAGATCGTTAACAAATTTTATGGTCAGTTATAGCTATACCTCTTTTTCTTCTTGCTTTCTCTTTTTCTCTTTATCACTCTTCCTTCTGTATATATTATCTTCTGTTTATCTATTTATTTCTGTATATTAGAATTATATTTGAATACATCATACACGTTGTTGCCCATAATTCGCTATATAATTTTATCTCATAATGAATTCCCGTTTCACATTTGTAATTATAATTTATTTCATTGGCACACATACCCAAGCTCGATGTACAAAAATATTAAGGAATTATTTTTGTAATTTGAATACGTAATTTCTTATCTTATTATAAAAAATATTTTTTTCCTTCATTAATTTACTCGGTAATCGGTAATCATGCATATACATACTTATATGTGGCCGCATATTTGTACTGTTTACATGACTCTCTCCGGATTCGTGTATCTTCGTACGTATTCGTGTTGGTACGCGTGACACGATGCGCGCGCACACACACGTATAGCACGAGCCAAATTCAACGAACCGAGCGGGACAGGTGCTTCACTAACAATAGTGGTACGCGCCTTTAAAAATGTACTTCAAATAATGATCGCGACGCTAAGCGCACTTTCAGTTATCGCGTAAAGCTACCACGCACAACGCACACCACAAAAACCAGTTACCAGATAAATTTTACGATCTTTCAGCAGCAAAGGAAATTAGCCGATAATTTATCCACGTTCGCGCGCGCGCACTTCTGGTAGCGAACACACGATCTTGTTCGGCAGAATTCAATTGGCGATTCATAATTAAAATTTGTGTACACGCGACTGGGCATATTTATTCGCGCTTACAAGCGCGTGCTGAGTGCGTGTATCGATCTTCATGCGTTCAGCCGAACCAAATATTCATAATCCGTGAAAAATGAATTTAGGTTAGCCTGCATTTTGATTTAATACAACGTAATAAAAGAGATATTAATCACTTAATTCATTAATCATTCGGATTTATCTTTTTTCCAATTAAAGTCCTTTCTTTAAAAAGTTTTATTATTTATTATTTATTTTCTTCTCAATGCGTAATATTTCTTCGAAGTAAAAAATGTAGTCCTATGCGATAATATTCATCTAAGTTTTGCACGTTGATTCAGTGTGATTCGTTTCTTACTTCTACCCTCATACGATCTTCTCCCACCACAGTTCGTTCCCGCTCTTTCCTACTAACGACATTAAAGGAAAGTACCCCGTTGCTGCTTTAATGGAATTTACTTTTGTAGCTTCGCAGAGCTCACCATACTTTACAGAGTAAATTGCACCGCGAGGGCGGATCTTGAAAAACAAGTGTTTCGATTTGACAGGAACAATAGAACGTTCTCTTCTCTTGCGATATTATTACTTTGAATAGCATATCAAAGGACATTTTTAAGTTCGTATTTAAATTCTAATGATATGAAAATTTTCATAAATTTATAATGCGAGCAATCCAGTTGTTTCCTGTATAATTATTTATCTCTATAATTATCTACGTTCTTCATACATTATTAAATTATTTGGCGCGTTTAGATTTGTTTGATCGCGTGTTGTCCGTACTCATTAAAAACGAGAACCGACAAGAGACTTCTGCACGATCAAGATAACGGTGATAAACGAAGATACATTGTTAACTGCGATGATATGGCGTTGTATGCATTACTTTTTGCTTGAAAAAAATGCTAGAGGTGATAACAATATCGTTATCTATCGTGAAAAATAATTATCCATCATTGAGTATCTATCAAAATAATTAGTTTATTCCATGTTATTTCAGTTTTATAATTCTTGTGAAAACCATTTGTATTTAAAAAAAAAATCGAAAATTGATTTTTAATTTAAACGC